AAACTATCAGAGAAAGACGCGGAAATCATTACAAGCATGAAGCACCGACAGCGAGAGACTGATGCTGGTGGTTAGGTTACTGTATGATGAATGAAATGGCGAAATTACCTTTAAACGATTAGTAAATCAACTGCAGAATGTTATATTTTCTAATGCATGCACGAATTGTATGTATTCTGACAGCGCTGCACGAGCTCGCGGTGCCAGGGTTCAAAGTCCAAAGCGCGAGGAAAATCTTTAAATTGTTGTTTTGTAATTGATTTTTTATTTGAACACATTTTGGCAATTTAATTAATGCAATGGTGAAAAAAATGGCAAAATAGGCCTACATGGGGGAAAAATGTGAAAAACCGTGTTCGGTATTCGGCCTTCGGCCCAGTGTTTCATTATGTTCGGCTTTGGCTTCGGCCAAGAATTTTCATTTCAGTGCATTCCTAATATATATGTATGTGTGTATATATATATACACCTTGCTACGTGTACTGCGTTAGGCTAACCGAGACTTGTCATTTGCACTTATATATTGTTGCTCTTTTGTTCGTTTTGACTGCTTTTATTGTCCTCATTTGTAAGTCGCTTTGGATAAAAGCGTCTGCTAAATGACTAAATGTAAATGTAATATGTTTCTAACTTTGTTAATGAGACATGGAAAACATGTGTTGGTGCAGATACTGTGTGGGCCTGACTTCTGTCTCAACCGATGCCATGAGTTAGAGGCGGGAAAATAATTTTTATTTTTATAAATAAAATTTTATAATTTTGCAGTTTTGCAGTTTGAATTTTGTTGTGGAGTAATGACAAAAAACATCTTGTTGTAGAAACACTTATATGCTTTAACCAGTAGAGTCAGATTCACAAGCAAATTACTTTTATGAAGTGTTGTTTTAATATTATAGTTTTTGTTAATATTTAAAGTATTTTTATATTTTTTCATTAATTTTGTTGTGCATTTTTGTTATTTTTATACATTTTTTTGTTTTATATAATATAAAATATATCTATAGTTTTATGATTTTTTGTTAGTTTCAGTAATTTTTGTATTTAATTTAGTACTTTTAGTTTTTCAGTTTATTTTATAAAAATGTTTTTATTTAGTTTAATTAACAGAAATGTGTTTCAATAGTTTTAGTTAATGATAATAGCACTGCATATATAAGCCATTTTTGTTAAAAGTATAATATTTAAAGTATTTTTGTATATATTTTCCATTATTATTATTATTTTTTTTTTCATTTATTTTGTTGTGGGTATTTGTCATTTTTATTAGTTTTTGATTTTTATATAATATAAAATATATCTATAAAGTTTTATAAATTTTTTATTAGTTTCAGTAATTTTAGTATTTAATTTAGTACTTTTAGTTTGTTTTATTTCAGTTTATTTTTTTATTTTTTTAAATTTAATAAATTAATTATTAATTATTTTAATGAACAGGAATGTTTTAATAGTTTTAGTTAATGATAACAGCACTGCATATATAAGCCATTTTTGTTCAAATAAATCTTTCAAAAAGGCTTACCACTCAGAAGTTATTGGTTTAGATCAGTCAGAAACTTTATAGGAAAAGATCAGAAAAGACTCCTCACCTACAGAACTCAAGTTAAAGAGACACATTTGCAACAGCTTTTTATAATATAATATATACATTTTCTTGAAATGAAGCCAGTTTTGTGTACTTGAGGTTTGTGAAACTTAGAGCTGTATCATTTGAGTGGTTGTTCATAAGACGTAGTTAAAGAGACACATTTGCTGTTTTTGTAATCTATTTTAAAAATAAAAAGTAAATTTGTATTCAGATCTCAGGCTTTTGTGTTGCAAGACACACTCCTAAACACTAGGCCACCATTCTAAAGTCTGTTTCTTCAGTGTTTTATTTTTTATTTAATTTCATTTCATTTCTCAGTAAATTAATGCTTTGTTACTTAACAGAAGAACATTATGTCCTCTACTACCTGGACAGATCTTTTTAAAAGCAAAGGTACATTAGAAGCATTTGTAAGAACAGAATTTACGCATTCATTTGTTCATTAAAGAAAAGGTCAATAGAGGGATCAAGGGTTTATTTGCAGGCAGCTAGCCCATGTTATTCAGACAAACACAAAGAAGAACTACACGACTCTTCTGCTTCAAAGCATTGCAGGAATGTAAGACAGAGTATGAATGCTAACACAGGAATTGTTGCACACTGTATATAATGACTCTTTCAGTGAAGCTGGGTTTTGTTTTTCTGTAGCTATACAAAACCAGTAACTGAATGCGGTTGAAATGCACTTAAAAGCTCTGGGAGTGTAATGTGAGCTCAAGCTCTTTTTTTGCTCTCCGCACCACAATGAGTGCTTACTGAGTAAATGCCATGAGTATAAAAAACCCAGACGCTAAAAAAGACCAGCATAGTTATAAAAACGCTGCCTCTCAGTGAGGCACAAAAGAACTGTCACTCAGGTGCCCAAGACACAAAGATTTACAGCTGTTGAAGGTTTTTCACAAATAGTTGTTTCAAATTTAGGAGCACATAAAATCTTCTCCTGGTGGTCTTTCGTGGTTCCAACACAGGGACAGAGTAAATGCTGACAGAGGAATACCTCAATAACTTTATATTATATGAAGGTCCGTTATAAGAATAGCAGGGCCTCCCAGCATTATAGCAGGTCTACATAATGTGCACTGTTGGGAACCAGTGCCCTGTAGTTTGTGCCCGCTTTCTCTTCAAAACCACAAAAGAGAACCATGAATACTTGTTAGAATCTGACTGGCTTTGTTAATACTCTTACAAAGAGAAACCATGGTAATACAATATTTTTAGATGTATACAATGGTAATACTATAGTTTTCAGTAAAATGAATTTGAACATTATAATCATATTATAATCATTCTTTACCATTGTACATATAAAAGTAGCATTGTTTTAATGTTTGATTACCACCACTGTACCATATTATTATTATTATGGTACAGTCAGTGGTATTATTATTATTATTATTATTATTATTATTGTACAGTGATGGTAAAAGGGTGTATTGTATTATAATTATTCATAATGTGTTGTAATACATTATATCATTTCGTAAATAATTATAACCGAATTTAAAATGCGTAGTGTAACAAGGAATCGATAAGTGTTATAATGCATAAACTGTGGTTACAATTATTCATGAGATTGTACAATGCATTACAAGGTGCATTACAGGTTTTTTTTTAGTTTAAGTTCCTTTTTTGGCACCCAGCGTGAAAGGGTGTGTTCACCGTTTGGATTCATTTTAACTTTAGTCTTGCCCTGAAGCGACTAACTATTCTGTTACTCAAAATGTAATTTTATTCCTCTTTTTGTTTTGTGCTCTCCCCAGATTCCTTTCTTCACCGAAATGTGTAATAAGCTGAATGCGGGGGATAACTGCAGTACTCTAGTGGGCTATTCGGCCGTGTATAAAGTCTGTTTCGGCATGGCCTGCTTTTTCTTCTTCTTCTTTGTGTTCACCATTCGTGTGCGAACCAGCACAGGATGCCGGGCAGCTGTTCACAACGGGTAAGCGGTCGAGCCAGACACTTTTGAAGTGGTATTTACACTGGAAACAGTGCTTGTTCCTCCTCTGCTTTGCTCCGTGGCCCCTCTGGGCTCAGGTTCAAAGGACCTATAGGGACCACCGTGTATTGTTTGGCCTGCTGCCTCCATCTGTACGCCCCTTCTAATGCTCCATTATTCACCCACAACCAAAGCCCTGAATAGAGGTATTAATTTAAAGCTTTGTCCAGAGGAAATGGCGCTTGGAGACGAGCTTCACCCCTACAAATGGGATGGTTTAGCCCCACATGAGAGCACTTCATGTCGCAATAATTGGATCTTTGTGTTGTATGCAAATGCAGGGTAAGGAAGTATATGGCTGAACTCAGTGTTGTATGCAGCTCCATCCTGCTCTGCACATTTATACAAGCCTTTAGAAAAAAACACGCACAAAACAATAACACGCCTCAATAAAAATCTCATTTAGATCTTCCTGAAACTACCCTATGATGACATACTAACATTGATAAACAGGAAATCATATACTATAGCATGCAGTCAAAATCTCAGAATGACATACTGTAGAAAATGTGTCATGGTAAATATTTGGGGTGGAAGGATTTTTAATTTAGTTTGAAAGATGTCTCTCATGCTCACTAAGGCTGCATTTATTTGATCAAAAATACACTAAAACAGTAATATTAAATATTATTACATAAAAAACTGTTTTAATAAAGCTTCAAACTGAATTTATTCCTGTAATGGCAAAGCTGAATTTTCAGCAGTCATTACTCCAGTCTTTAGTGTTGCATGATCCTTCAGAAATCATTCTAATATGTTGATTTCCTGCTCAAGAAACATTTCTTATTATTATCAATGTTGAAAACAGTTGTGCTGCTTAATATATAATTTCTATGAAAATCTAAAAGAATACATTATATCATTTCGTAAATAATTATAACCGAATTTAAAATGCGTAGTGTAACAAGGAATCGATAAGTGTTATAATGCATAAACTGTGGTTACAATTATTCATGAGATTGTACAATGCATTACAAGGTGCATTACAAGGCATAATTAATGCATTTAAACTACTTTTATAATGCATTATACATAAAGGCTTTACGTAAAGTGTTACCAGTATTTTTTTTTTAAGTAATAAAAAAAGCAAAACAAATCTAGGACTTCTTAATGGATGGAAAGTAATGCCTTCAATGTCTGTTTAAGGTGTGTGTATTATAAGTAGGGCTGGGTATCGTTCAAAAATTTTCGACATCGATACCGATACCGATACCTTGACTTCGATACCGGTTCCTGAACGATACTTTTTTCGATACCAATTTTATGAAATCAATTTTAACAAGATTACATTATCTAACAAAAAAACTTTGGTTTTATTTTTCACTCCAGTCTTTAGTGTTGCATGATCCTTCAGAAATCATTCTAATATGTTGATTTCCTGCTCAAGAAACATTTCTTATTATTATCAATGTTGAAAACAGTTGTGCTGCTTAATATATAATTTCTATGAAAATCTAAAAGAACAATGTGTATTTGAAATAGAAAACATTTTTAACATTATAAGCAAATTTACTGAATAAATTAATTCCTTTTCAATTAAAGGGGGGAGTGTATAAATTAGGGCTGCAAAACGATTAATCACAATTAATCACATTCAAAATAAAAGTTTGTTTACATACTATATATGTGTGTACTGTGTATATTTATCATGTATATATAAATACACACACTTACATGTGTATATTAAGGAAAAATATGTTAGATTTCTATATAAAATATTTAGATTTATATATAATATAAATTATATACAAATATAAATATATATACATACAAATATTTGTTAAAATATGTACATATATGTGTGTATTTATATATACATAATAACAGTACACGCACACACATAGTATGTAAACAAACTTTTATTTTGAATGCGATTAAAACTGAATTAAACTGAAACAAAATTGCTTTGGATCAATATCTGTTGCGAAAAATCAATGTTTTGATTTATTAATAATTATGTTGAATTAATATTATTTCCCAGAGCATTTAAATAATTTCTTTTAAACTTTAGTACAATGATTTAATTTTTAAACTTACTTTACTCACTTACTATTGTTTTCAAACTGTTTGAAAACCCATGTCTTATATTGTTATATTGTAAAGCTAGACTGCCAGTTTGAGAAACGTTTTCCTTATTGATTATGTCTTAAATCAACAGTTTCTTCTGTTTTGTTGCAGGTTTTGGTTCTTTAAGTTTGTGGCTTTGCTGGCCTGCTGTGCAGGCGGATTTTTTCTACCAAATCAAGAAACGTTTCTAGAAGGTTTAGTATGCTCAGTTTTCACATGCTTGTTCTCTTTTTATTACATCTGGAAAGTTTTATTCGTTTTACTTTGAGCCTGCAGTGGTGTTGGGGTATATATGTCCAAGAGCAACAGAGTTGATCTACTGTGAGCATCTCTGTGTGGTTCTTCGACTCCAGTAACTCAAACAGAGTCTTCCGCTGCCTGTATCAATAACCTCGTGACTACACACATATTTACAGGAATGTTGCACAAGATCCTGAGTGATAGAGAGGATGTTGTCCTCTTAGAGTTGTCCTTGAATTAGTACACTTGTTTTAATGGAAATATATCTCAATCATAAACACACTGCAGCAGTTCCATGGTATAGTATGTGATGTTATTTTAGTATTATTTAGATACTAATATTAATAGTTTTTATTAATATTTTGAATTTGTTTTATTGATTTCATTTTAATTCAAAAGTTTTAGTTATATAGTTGTTTTTTGTATGTGTATATAGTTTTTATTAATTTTCATATCAGTTTTAATTATTTTAGTACATCAAGTTAAACTAAATTAAATTGAGAGTTTTCTTTAGCAATTGGCTTGAAATACAATAAAGTTTTATATATTATATTTTATTTCAGTTAACAATTATTATACGAGTAACAAAAATGTTTTTAATTGGTTTTAGTTCTAGTCAACTATAATAACCCTTATCAGATGTTTCATATATTCATTTTGTGCCATATATGTTACATTTAAAAACAACATGTTAAAACATTGTATTTCTTTCATGCGTTATTTGTAACACATTACCTTAAAAACTGCACAAGATAAGTGGTACTATGATAGCTCCATGTTTGTGTTTGGTGTCATAAATAAAGTATTTAATTAGTTGTGCTCTGTGCGCCAGAAAAGTTCATGTACACTTTTATATTAGCTCAGGTCCAAGCGATTATCGCTCTTTAGTGTCTCGTTAAATGATGTGTGCTTCCTGATGTGTTTTCAGTTCCTGGCTTTTAGCAGAGAGCAGTGTTTGTTTTGTCTTACAGGACCAGCCAGAGGGAAAGACCTTTGACTCATCTCTCTCTTTCTCTTTTTCAGTCTGGCGTTATGTGGGGGCTGCTGGAGGTTTTCTCTTCATCATCATCCAGTTGATGCTTCTCGTTCAGTTTGCCCACAGATGGAATCAAAACTGGTGAGCTGAAGTTTAGCGCTGTCCAAATAACTGTCTGTTTTTCCTTTCTTCCCTCTTTTCATTCACCAAGTGGAAAACTGGAGAAGTTCTCTAGTACTTTCCATCATTGAATCCAACTGTTGCTTGGTATGCAATTTGAATCCCCGCAACTGGAAATCATTAGGTCTGGGAACGGAGACTATGGTGTAATCTAGCGGCATTTAATTTCCACTGTCAGTTTGGTTGCATAGTTGCCAGCCGGGGTGGTCTTAACATTGTGCTGCTATAGCAGAAGGGGACTTTTTAACACCGGGTTGAAAGATTTGGGGAAAGTTTTAATGCACTTGCTACTTATTTTAGTCACTGGCGCAGTGGCAGATTCCAAGAACCAGAGTGTTTTGTTTCAGTGGGAGTTTTCATTCAATACATGAAACATTTCAACTGTAAGACAGAAAACTAAAGCACAGATTTTTATTTTTAAGCAGAGCTTTCTCAGGGGTGTGTTCATAAAGAATGTGTGTTGTGGCGGTAGAATATGGCTTTGTGTTGTGCTGTTGACATTACAGAGAGGAGAAAGAGAAAAAGTAAGAGGTTCTTGGCTGCTCTCCAGTTTGTGGACAGGAAACCCATGGCAGAGCTCAACGTGCATCATAGTTTCCTCTCTGCTTTCTGTCAACGAATGTAAACATCAGCATAAAAGAGCAGAAATGTCCAAAACTGTCACAGGGAATTTTGTAATACAGGAAATATTGGGGACAAAACAGTTCTAAGAAGTAAACTAATTTGACCTCCCTTTTTTACTTTTTATTATTCAAAAGTAGTGTAAATAAAAATGCTAATTTAAATAAAATTAGTTGTTTTTTTATTTATTTGTTTACTCTAAAACTTTATATATATATATATATATATATATATATTTAATGAATAGAAAGTTTAAAAGTATTTTTTGCAAAATAGAAATTTATATTAAATTATAAATGTCTTTACTGTCAGTTTAGATCAGTTCATTGCA